TTTTAAAGAAAAATTGTTTCATTCAAACGGGAGAAAAATACAAAGTTATTTCTTCCAAAATTTAAAGCATCTTCAGTACTGTTCTTTATTAGTTCGAATTTTCCCAGACTTATGCAATTGCGATTATTTTGCTGCTTAAAAAATAGTTTGTTCTGCCAAAACAATTGAATTGCAATTTTTCTTTATTTATTTTTCAAGTTCCAGATACTACAGATGAGGAAAATAAAGACTGTAATTCTTTAGCTGCAAATGCTATTGCTTTAGGTTTGAATTTGAAGTGTTTACTATGTGATTATATTAGGCAGTATATAGAGGCATTAAACTTAAAGATAGCTGCAGAATGTTATGTACACAATATTACTCTTTTGAAAATCATTTTATCATCATTCTACCTTCAGTATTAACTTTGATGGCCTATCAAATGATAATTGGAATTATTTTTCCTTTTTTTTTTTAATATCTTTGACGTCTAGGATGTTAGAACTCAAGAAAGTCGAGGAATTCGGAGTTATGGAAACCTTTTTATGACTTTCTGATTTATATATATACTAGGTCCAAAGGAAATCACTCAAGTCTTCAGATCAGGAGGGTTAGTGTGTCTGCGTGTGTGTAGAAAGAGAAATGCGTTAAACAAATTCCCTCCAAGAAGCATATTTATCTTCTTTTTGCAGGTGAAATTGCAGCTTCACTTTTGGCAGACATGTTTTTTCATCATTTCATCAACTCGGCTCTAAACATTTCATGTTAATATTTAACTTTACAATTATCTGAATTTCATGTGATTCTTTTTCCTTTTTTCAGCATGTTTTGCTCAAAGTTTGAATCTTGATGACTCCATTTTCATATTGAAAGGGGAAATAGAGACAACAGGGCATACAAACACATATAGCTAATCAAATACTTAATATTATATTATATATATAATATATATAACTAGAAAATATTGTAGGTCTCGATTTAAAGAGGGCGTGCTGTGGGACGGGCATGAATTACAATTTCAACATGATTTGTGGGGGCCACGAAGTTCATATTTTTAGGGACCCATATTGTTACATGAGCTGAACGGGACCCATTTATCGCAAGAGAGTTACGGGCTAATATCTTTCTGATTGATGCGCGACCTTTCTTGCTTCTTAGGTGATGTTTTGGTGGTGGTGATTTCGGAAATTTGTAAGTCATTACGGCCAGGTTTTGTTATCTTTTGATTTTCTTGGTTTTTGAATTTGGCTTGGTGTAAAGTTGAGAAGGCTTCTATTAGCACAACATAAGGTTTGTGATGATACAAATGTAGAGATGAGAGGATGAAATAATTCAGGAATACAAATCTCTTATTGGTTTGACTTTTAAAGTTGTCATATCCGGTTGACGTGTTGTACTCTCTGTTGACGTACTCTATGTGTGTGCAAGCGTGTGTGTGGTGAATCTTGTATGCAATTCAGTGTTAACCACTTTCATTGTCCTTCTGATCATGGAATCACACGCTTATGCTCTATAAAAGATGAATTACAACTGTGCATAGTTCTTCTGATTATTAAATAATGGATTCATGATCGTGAGAAGATTTAGACCGAGAGCTTGACAGCTTTGAAGAAGCCCCTTAAAGTTCGTGGTAAATTAGCTATGCATGCTTAATTTTGTAATGAAGTCTCCTGGTATCTAAGTTAGTGGTAAATTAGCTATGCATGCTTAATTTTGTAATGAAGTCTCCTGGTATCTATGTAACTCAAACATTTCCCTTAATATTACAACAAACAAGAACACTAAAGGGGTATTTCAAAAACAGAAGATTACGTTATTGTTTATTTTTTTGTAAAAGCGATGACCGTAATTCTTTTTTATTGTCTATATATCTCCAAATTCTATATATAATTTTAAGTTCCATTCTAAAAAGTACAAATTCTTCATTAGGTACGTATAATCACATTAAGAGTTAAAATCTAATGTGTTTTGCAATGCAACTTTAGCACTAAATAACTGTGCGTAATGAACCAACAAGTATTTTAAATTATGTTGTAGTTGAATTTTAATATTGTTGACTTTTATCTTTAGACTATGGATTAAGATATTTGAAATAATGTTGTAGTTGAAGTTCAATGTGACCTTACTTTTATCTATGGAGTAAGACATTGTAAGCAAAATGCGATTTAACTCGATGCTCATTGTCAATAGTACTGTTTTCAAAATGGTCGCTACTATCATGCTTTTCGTTATATATTATAAGAAAAAAATAAAAGAATGATAAGTATGTACTAAAATCAATACTCAATCACTAACACACTTTTACAACATATTATAGAACTTGATTATAGTTTAATGACATACTTAATTGTGAC